CGTGGTCGAATTCCGCCAGTTCGGTCGAGATGGTGGTCAAGCGGTTCGGTTGCAATGTAGCCATGCGGATCTGAGCTTACCATTTCTTGCCATTTTGGCGGGGGCTCGCAGGAGCGTTTGTGTTGTGATCAATTGTGCTCGGTATATCCAGCGGCAGTATATGATTTTGAAAAAAAAAAAAAAAAAAAAAAAAATCAGCAGGGGCCAAATTGTTGATGTGAAGCAACATAGGTCTCGTAAAAGGACGGCATCAAGACGGCTTCGAAAAGCCGCTGAGACGCCCCGGAAGTAGCCCAAGAGGACCCCCAAGAGGGATTCCGGAGAGACATAGTATTGATTCCCCGCGCATGTTTGAAATACGATCGCGCGGTTCTCTTGCACTGGGTGTCTAGAGTTCCGATCATTTTGTTTCGGGACGCGCGCACAGCACTGGCACCGCGCCCCCCTCCCCCCCCAGCCAGCCCAGCACCCCCTCGCCCTCCAGCCCGCGTGCCCCTCCACCCCAACCTGTTTATTTCGGCACGCGCGCACGGCACCGGCCCCGCGGCCCCCTCCCCCCCCAGCCAGCCCAGTCGCCCCTCGTCCCCCAGCCAGCGCAGCAATCTCTGCCCCAACAGGTTTCTTCCGGCACGCGCGCACGGCACCGGCACCACGCCCCCCCTCCCCCCAGCCAGCCTAGCTCCCCCTCGCCCTCCAGCCAGCGCGCCCCCTCCGCCCCGACTATTTTGTTTTGGCGCGCGCGCACGGCACCGGCACCGCGCCCCCCCTCTCCCCCAGCCAACCCAGCCCCCCCTCCGCATTCCAGCCAGCGCGCCCCTTCCGCCCCGACCATTTTACTGCGGCACAAGCCCCCCCGCCCCAGCAGCTTTATTTCGGCACGCGCGCACGGCGGTGGCACCGCGCCCCCACTCCCCCTAACCAGCCCAGCCCCCCCCCCAACCAGCGCGGCCCCCTCCGCTCCGACAGTTTGATTTCGGCACTCACGCACGGCCTCGGCATCGCGCCCCCTCTCCCCCAAAGCCAGCCCAGCATTCCCTCGCCCCCCCAGCCAGCGCGCCCCCTCCGCCACGAGCCTTTCTTTCAGCGCCCACGCACAGCACTGGCACCGCGCCGCCGCTCCCCCCCAGCCATCCCCTCTCCCCCTCGCACCTCCGCCAGCGCGCCCCCTCCGCCCTGATTTTGTTTTGCCGGCACGCACGCACGGGTCCAGCACCACGCCCCCCCACCCCCCACATCCAGCCAGCCCAGCTCCCCCTCGTATTCCAGCATTCCAGCCAGCGCGCCCCCTCCGCTCGGACAAGTTGCATTCCGGCAAGCACGCATGGCACCAGCACCACGCCCCCTTTCCGCCCATAGCCAGCCCAGCTCCTCTCCGCATTCCAGCCAGCGCGTCCCTTCCGCCCCGAGAATTTGATTTTGGCACGCACGCACGGCACCAGCACCGCCCTCCCCCCAGCCAGCCCAGCTTGGAGGCTCCAACAGCCCATCGGAAGCGAAAAGTGGCAAGGAACAGTGTATTTGTTTCTCAGTTAGTTTAGGAAGGGTTGGGGCTTCTTGGATGGGGTCCCAACAGTGTTCAGAAAACACTTGGAGCAGTCTTGTGGCCTGACTGGGGCCACCCTTGGGCCTCTTGGAGGCTTGACTGGGGCCACCCTCAACCGTCTGGAGCTCTCTTGAGCCATCTCGCACCTCCTCCTCCACCTCCTCTTCCTCCTCCCCCCTCCTTTAGTTATGTGCAAGGGCCATTGCACGCGTGCCACCCGTTTGCGCTACGGGTTTCTGGAAAGGTTGAGATGGCCCAGGATGCCCGTCAGACTGGCCCAAGACGGCCCCGTCTCGGCGTCGGTGACGTACGTGACCTCGCCGCCCCACCGAGCTGGTGTGATGATGGCCGCGTGCCAGATATTCCTGCAGCCCGCAACCTGCGCCACTGCCTTCACCTTTTCGAACCAAGAACGGCTCAAAACGGCCCAAGAGGCTCCAAATATCGTGCCCAGACAGCCCACGAGGCCCCCAAAATGGTCCGAAAATGGTCCAAGGGGACCACAAGGCGGCCCCACAAGGCTGGAGCGGCGCCCCGAGTGGAGGTAGGTCAACGCCCAGGGGCCGCATAGACGCAGGCTGCGCTCGGTGAAGCGTGCGCTGGGCCAGCTCGGTCACGGCGGCCGTTGCTCAGGGTATTGCTCGTGGCGCTGGCCAGCTGCCCGTGCGCAGGGTTCCCCGGTCGCCCAGGGCCTTTTACCAGGCGCGCAGATGGTGGCGCTGGCAGTTGCCCCATGAACTGGCCTATCGGTCGTCGCCCCCCCTCCAAGTGTCTCCAAGTACGGGGCCGACAGGAGCTCCTACTCGCAGGTGGGCATGACCCACGTGGCGGTGACCAAGTTTGGCAAGATGGTCGTCGCGTCGAGGTTGACGAACCAACCCAGGTGCCGCGGGCGCGTGCCAGCTGGCGTGCAAGTCCCTGATTTGAACCTGGTGGCCATCTTCCCCGCGTCCTCGCATGTGACGCACAGGCACTGGCAGCCCTGGCCATCAGCATCCACCATGGCGGCGAGTGCGGCCTGGATCTCACCAGGCCTCGAGCTGGCCACATCATCGCTAAGCTCGTTCCACTGCCCCGCACACTCACGACGGTACTTGCCCAGGAGCTCGATGGAATCGGCCGCCCTGTCATGCGCCGCCGTCATGCTTAGTGAGCTCGGGCTCGCAGCATCGGGGCACCGTTCGCTTGGCGTGGAACGCCTCTCGCCAGGACATCCCGCAGCGTCGCGGCCCAACTCCTTGCAGATCCGCTCGGCCGTCACGGCCAGCAGCTCAAAGACGCCTGAGTACGTGACTCCAGTGTCCATCAGCCCGGGCTTGTGAGGCTCTGGCAGCTCCTCCTTGGGCTGGGGACCATCCAGCTCCTGCCCCAGGTCGAAGGGGCCCTGGTCGTCGTCGAATCCAGGCAGCTGGCTCTGGGTGGCCAGGCTTCCGCGGGCATCGCGCCCGCAGCAGCGACCCTGGCAGCAGTCCCCAGCGGTCTGCTAGAGTCGCGAGCGCAGAAATGCCCAGCAGATTGCTGCGCGCGAGCGTAGGCACGACCCAAGCAGATGTCCCGGGCGGCCTGCTGGGCGCAAACGCCGGCGCGACCCCAGCCGAAATCCGCGGCAGCCTGCTGGACGCGAGCACCAGCGCGTGCGCGAGCGCCCGCACGACCCCGCCAGAAGTCCCCGGCAGCCCGTTGGGCGCAAGCGCCGGCACGACCCAAGCAGAAATCCCCGGCAGCCTTCTGGACGCGAGAGGCACGACCCCAGAGGAAGTCCCGGGCAGCTTGATGTGCGCGAGCGTCGGCAGGACCCCAGCAGAAAATCTCGGCATCTTGCAGGACGATCTTGAGGTCCATGGCGAGCGCCTTGTCAGCAGTGCAAGCGTTGAACCCACCCAGCCATCGAGCCCGTCGAGCACAGCACCACAGAGCTGGTTGAGCAGCTCCTCCCACTCCACCCAGGCTGTTTGCCGACGGAACACAGAAGAGCTCGACGCATGGATCCAACGAGTCCCGCTCGACCTGCCCGCCAGGTCTCCAGCACGCCCGCGATGTAGCCGAGCTGCCTCGCCAAACATCGCATCCACAAGCTGACCCGTGACCGGGGGTTCTTGGGCGCGCACCTGGCTGAGCGGCTGGTCTTCCAGCTGAAGCTGTCCGCCCCAGCGAGCCAGCGTACAGTCGAGCCGGATTGATAGGTCGACCCTGCCAAATCAAGGGTACCCTTGTGTCACGTGGCCCTCGGAAGAGTCTCGTGTCCTCTCGCGCGCCCTCTTCAATCCACCCCGACGGCAGCGCGCAGCCAGGCAGCGCGGGACTCGTGGAGCCGCGCCTGCCGACCCTCGACGGGCAGAGGCCCCGCCCGAGACTGCGCGAGCGCCTCCCGCACCGCAGCGGCGGCCGGCCCCCTCGCAGCGCCAGCAGCGGCGGGGTCTGCTCGGCAGCTCGGACCAGCGGCCGGTTCCCGGCACCCCTGAGCGTGAGCTCAACGAGGTGCATGCTGCTCCCATCGTGCTTTAAGGACCGCATCCCAGAAACAATTTCGAGCACCCAGAAAAGTGTCGAAACAGTGTCGAAAGAGTGTCTCCCAGGGCCCGACACGTGAAAACCCTCGACTTTGGGGGTACTTCCTTGGTGCTCGAAATTCTTTCCGGTGGCCAAGGCTAAAGCAGGTCGGAACATCATAAAACGAGGTCGCGGGTGGGCACGAGGTGCCCAAGGGTGGACCATTGGCCTCGCACATGCCAGCCAGCCCCACCCGCCAGTGACGAGCGCGTCGCGCACGCAGTCGGCCCCCCCAGGAGGAGGAGGAGGAGGAGCAGGAGCAGGAGAAAGAGGAGGAGGCGGAGGAGGAGGAGAACATTTAGGAGGGAATGGGGTGGGGACGAGCATGAGGCGGGTGGAGGAAGCGGATTCGAAGGGGGAGGACGAGTAGCAGCGGCAACATGAGGAACAAAAAGGAGGAGGAAGAGGAGGAGAGGAAGGAGTTGGAGGAGGAAGAGAAGGACGAGGGGGAGGAGGAGGAGGAGGAGGAGGAGGAGGGGAGGAGGAGGGGGGGGGCGACGGAGGAGGAGAAGTCACCAATCCCTTGATGTTAGGGACCAGCGTCGGCAAGGCGCGGAGGGTGAATTCCTTGGTCCCCCTCCTGGCGCAGGGGAGCCACGAAGCCAACGCAAGCGGGTGCCAACCTCAAGACACATCGCGGCAGTAGTCCCACGTCTCTTGGCAGCGCACGGGGCTTGCACTAAAGCCTAAACAGGCGCGAAGCACGCGTGTGTCCAGCGTGTGTATGTAGGTATCTATGAATGTGTGTATGCATAGGTGTGCGTGAGGCACGCCAACACATGTTTCATGGATGTACGCGCAAAGCATGCGATTGTGATTGAAATGCGCGAGCGGCAGACTGGAGAGTTGTGGCATCAGGGTGATGAATTCTGGGAGCATGAGCCCCACGCAGGACGGTGATAGCTTCATGTTTATGGACACGGAGACATACGAGGAAAAAGCCGTCCCAAGAGCGGTCGGCTCCCGCGCTTTCTTCAGGACGCAGTTTGGCCTCTCGCACCCCGTCGCTCCGCCTTCACGCCACTAGTGCACCCCGTCTGTCGCGTCAGCGCCTCTGGCACCTCTCGTCTTCACTTCGGCACTGCCGCTTCTCATACCCTCATCCATGTCTTCCACCTCCGCCCAGTCGCTTCGAGGTGGCCCCTTCGGCCGTCTGAGCAGTGCGTCTCTTGCGAGTGCGCCCCACCTCCAAAGTAGAGTGCTTGTTCCTCGCATCCATACTGGGGATCTCATGTTCTCTGCACACCCCTCGCGCAAGATCTTCTCCTCCGCCTCCTCTTCCCTTCTCTCTTCCTCACTCACACACTCACACACACACACACGCAAGCACTCATCATCAGCAGCAGCAGCATCATCATCATCATCAGCAGCATCATCATCGTCATAATCAGCATCACCATCACCAGCATCATCAGCATCAGTATCATTATCAGCATCCTCATCTCATCGTCATCGTCATCATCAGCATCACCATCTTCATCACCAGCATCAGCAACATCAACATCAACAACAACAACAACATCATCTCCACGCACACGGACACGCGCACAAACGCACAAACGCACTCACCCACACTCACACACCTCTTCACCATCACCACTCATCAGCACAGTACATACTCACATACTCTCAGATTCACTTTGAGGGAATTCTCGAGCGTGAGCCTCCTCCCTATGGGAAGAAGACCCAATGTTGGTGATCCGAGCGGGCCATCGGCAAACTATACCAGGCATAGCACTTGAGCACCCCAAGGTGGCACATCCTGAGGATGTCTCAAGCGGGGACTTCGTCTGTGAGCGAATGGCAAGGAAGTCTGAGGCCGCATCCCACTCCCGCTGAGGCCCGCCGCACTTCATGTTGGTAGTCCGAGCGGGTCATCGGCAAATTTCACCAGGCATAGCACTTGAGCACCCCAAGGGGGCAAATCGTGAGAATGTGTCTCAGGCGGGGGCCTCGATGGCGAGGACGTTTAGGCGGGAGCCCCCACCCAAGGTGGCCTGCACCTCATGTTGGTAGTCCGAGCGGGTCATCGGCAGACTTGACCAGGTTTTGCACGCGAGCACCCCGAGGTGGCACAGCGTGAGGATGTCTCAGGTGGGGGCCTCGTCCTTTGTGGGCCCCGGAAACGGCAGGGCCGTTTTTTTCACCGTTTCCAAAAAAATGTCCCTTGAAAATGGAAACGATAAAAAAACGGCGACCGGAAACGGCAAAAAAACGGCTCCAGGATTGGAACCGGAGCCGGAACCGGTCAACAAATTGCGACGGAACCGGTAAACAAATGGCGTCGGAACCGGCAAAAAAACTGCAAAACGGAACCGGTAAAAAAACGTCCTTGTCGTTTCCAGGGCTGTGAGTGAATTGCGACGATGTGTCATGCGGGAGCCCACTCCTTCGGCGGCCGCACCTCATGTTGGCAATCCGATCGGGCCATTGGCAAATTCTACTAGGCATAGCACTTGAGCAACCCAGGGGGGCAAATCGTGAGTATGTATCAAGCGAGCCCCCCCTCCCCACGGGGCCCGCACTTCATGTTGGCCGAGCTGCTCCTCATTCTTGAATCTGCCCTCCCTCCAGGGTCCCCACCTTCATGTTGGTAATCCGAGCGGGGCCATCCAAATTTTGTATCACTGTTTGCCCCCCCCCCCGGCTTGAATCTGGAGGAAGTCTCAAACAGGAGCCTCGTCAGTGGGTGGATCGTGAGGGAGTCTCGAGCGGGAGCTCTCGGAAAGTCTCCGAAGATCACAGAAACCTTCAGGATGCTTCAGAAAGCCACAGAAAGCTTCAGGAGGCACCAGGAGGCACCAGGAAGCCCAGAGGCCGCAGGAGGCCCCAGAGCCACCAGGAAGCCACAGGAGGCCCTGGAGTTCTTCAGGAGGTCACGGAGGCCCTGGGAGGTCCCAGGAGTACCCCTGGCCCCAGTCGGCCCTGGGAGGCCCCAGGGAACCGGAACTCTTCCGCCGAGGTCCCGTTCCGCCGATGCTGTTCTGCCCGGTCCTGCTCCGCAGATGTCCTGTTCCGCCCAGTCTTGTTCCGCCCGGTCCTGCTCCGCCCGGTCTTGTTCCGCCCGGTCTTGTTCCGCAAATCCTGTTCCGCCGGTCGTGTTCCGCCGCCTGTACGCGTCATACTTTAATATCCCGCCCGCCCGACCCGCCGCCCGCCCGCCCGTCAGGGTCCCGCCCGCCGCCGGACCCGCCCGCCCGTCAGGGTCCGCCCGCCCGACCCGCCGTCCGCCCGTTAAGGTGACACGCGTGCTACTTCGATTACGCGTCATACTTTAATATCCTGCCCGCCCGACCCGCCGCCCGCCCGCCCGTCAGGGCCCCGCCCGCCGCCCGACCCGCCCGCCCGTTAGGGTCCGCCCGCCCGACCAGTCGCCCGCCCGTTCGAGAATGATACACGTGTGCTAC